CGTGTCCTCAGAAAGAACCACCACAATCCACCCTGACCCCTGTCCGAGTCATAGCGCCTTTCGGGTTTCAAGCGGCTACTGCCCTCTTACGTGATTCATAATTGGCCTCTGGGGTAATCTAAAGATCACAGTTTTCTAGGCCATAGAAAGAGTTGGAACGCCGGCCTCAGTTTACCTCTGAAACAGGCCTGCTCTGTCAGGAGAGCGGTTGAACTCCCGGGCTCCTTGCTTTTAAAATGAGAATCTTTGTCTCTTCCCCGGCCGCTGCAGTCTTTCCTTGAGTGCCAGTTGCTCTAACGGACGTGGATGTGTGCCATCCACTCTCAGTCTCTAAATGCCAGGCAACTTTCCTTCGTTTACATGGATGCTGGGCTTTTAAAAACTACAATTGTACGTTTGTTACTGTCTCGTCTGCCCTGCCTGTAACAGGCAATTTGTTGTATTTACTTGAGACTGGAGTGTGGTAGCAGACAGCCTTGTTTGCAGTCAGCTTTCCTTTCTTAGCTCTGAGACCTAGATTACAGGGTCTGGCCACTGTTTGGTTTCTTGTCACTGAAAATGGAGGCTTATTTTAGGGTTAGCTCGGAGGTTAAAGGGCATGATATAGGGTACCTTCTGTTTCAGAAATTGATGTAAAATACGAGGTTATGGAAACAGCGGTTGAAATGAGAATAATTCGGATCTTTTTCTAGCATCCAGTTCTACTAATGTGGGTGGTTATTTGTACCCAGAATAAAATTATCTGTCTACATATGGCCTGTTCAGTGGTTTGGGGGGTGCCAGCAGAAAAATCACGGCTCTCATCTTAAAGAGAATAAGAAGTACTTTGTTCTGGAGCCATCTTGAGTGACCATGGCCCAGGAGCACTGATTTAGGTTACTCCCAATTCCGTGTTCCAATGTTCCAACGTGAAAGCAGTTTCACAGGGCTTTTGTGGTTTTACAGAACAGAGAAAGCTGTTTGTAAAGCCACTTAAAACTCCTTGGGGGTGGTGTAGCAGGGAGGTGGCTCCAGCAATGGGGGAGTCGTAGGCCCAGGGTGCTTAGCTCTTGGCTTGGCCTGAGTTAATAGTTTTTAGGGGGAGACTTTGTTTGTTATCATGAGGTGTTTGTTCAGCTCCAGAGTGGGGCAAGGCGTGGCTGTTCCAAAAGGCTTAACACTCGCCGAAGATAAAGTAATCAGCTTCGGAACCCGCAAAATTCTAATCTTCCCACAGTACTGAAATTCCAGCCCGCGTCCCCAGTCTCTGCAGACACAGCTGCCTTCAAGGGAGTCGGTTACAGCCAGACACAGCTTCTTTCCAGGGATATTCATTCAGAGGTGAAGGTGCATCGAAAACTGCTTTTAGCTGGTAATCACTGTTTAACCCGTCGCTCGAGTATAGCCAGCGGTAGGGTGGACCAGCTTCCTCTATTGTAATGTGTGGAAACCAAGGAACACTTTCATATCTGAGAACTGTATCTGCCATCTTCTTATGTATGCACAATCTTTTAAGAACAGAACAGATAATTCTAAGCATTAATACCTTGGCTTTTTTTTTTTTTTTTTTGAGATTGGATCTTACTGGGTAGGCTAATGTGTGGTTGTCAGCCTTCCTAATGCTGTGACCTCTTAATACAGTTCCTCACGTTGTGGTGACCCCAACCGTAACATCATTTTCATGGCTGCTTCTCAATTGTCATTTTGCTGCGGTTATGAATCGTAACTAAGTTTTCCGATGGTTTTAGGCAACCCCAAAGGGGTCGTGACCCACAGGTTGAAAACCCCTGATAGAAACTATGGCTCATCCACCTACCCCTGCCTTCCAGAGTGCTGGGATTAAAGGTGTGTGCCACCACAACCCAGCAGAATAGATTTATTTTAGTGATATTTTCAATGTTAGCATAAAATATTGTATAAGAGGGTGAGGGTTTTTTTGAGCATTAGCGGGTGACGGTTTGTGTGTGTGTGTGTCTGTGTGTGTGTGTGTGTGTGTGTGTGTACGCGCTCTCGCGTCCATGCAAGCATACACATGTATGTGTACTCCCGTGGATGCCAGATGTTAACAGTTGATCTTCATTTTATTATTAGTATTTTGTCAGAGTGTCCTGTTGAATCCGGAACTCACTGATCGGGTTAGATTAGCTGGCCAGCAGCCCATAGGGATTCTGTTGATCAGGATAGTGGGCAGCTAGGAGGAAGCTGCAAGCTGGGGTTAGGGGGAATGGGCTCCCAGTTTGTGTTCTAGAATATTCTGTATAGCTGAGGTTGACTGGAGAGCATCTTCCTCCAGGCGAGCCCACCAGGATTTCCTCCTGTTTCCTTTACTTCGCCTTTACCCAAGATAATCTCCTTTTCAGGACATTTCTTTCCGTGCAGGGTCTTCTCAAGCTGAGGCTCAGATGTTGGGAGCCAAGTCCTAGCTTTAAGAACAAATCAGGATTGGGGAGGGTGGTGAGAACCCCGAGATCCCTGGAACAAACTGAATAGGAGGGCCAGAAAGGTTATTGAGGGCATTCAAGTGTGGGTGAGAGTTTCTTCTTTTTCTAGGGCCTCAGTATTAATTGAACAAAATAAATAGGAATAACTGAGCGCCTTATTCTGTAGGCAATTGAATCACCAAATACTAAACAAGTCACGAAAATTTCTAGAATGCTTTCCTTAGTGCTTTTCCCTAATTGCTTTTTCTTCAAATATTTTGAAATATTTCATATTCGACAGAATATATATTCAGTGTATGGCTCTACATTTGCAGGTTTGGGGGGGGGTTTCTTTACCAGTCCTCAGGACTGCAGCAAAAGCAGTGTTGCAGTTAAGTTGGAGTTCCATCGTCCTGATGATTTGGTCTTTTCTGCGTGTTGATGTTTCTTGTGTTCATACCACAAATGTTTTTGAGAGCCTGCTGTGAGCCTTCTGCCCCTGGGTAAGGGCCAGGGGACGAGATTTCCAGCCTTCAGAGCTCACTGTCGGGTAGGTTGAGAAACTGGAAAAAAAAAAATACACTAATATTACTAATTGGTGATAAGAGATGGGAGAAAGGAGAGAGATGGACAGACACCCTGGGACTGGTCAGAGGGCCTTAACCCATGTGCTTTACACGTTACGAGAGGGTTTTGGCCCCGTGGATCTGGGCAGAAACATTCCCAGTAGGGAAGAACAGAGGGCTACAGGCCCTGTGTGCTGGGAAGGGGTGCTGTGCAGGAATTTGAGAAAGAAAAGAAGCCCTGAAGGCTTTGGTAATGGGCGGAGTCACCGAATTTACATTCTAAAGGTTAACTCCCCAGCTGTAGATGGATGGAGGCTTGCTGGGAAGCTTGGAGCCTCAGAATGGTTTTCTTCTGTTTTGGGATTGAGGCCCGAAACCTGAATTAGGGTTGGGATTAGGGAGCCTGGGAGGAGAGTCACCCACTGAGAAGATAAAACTTCCAGGAGTCTAGGCTGTAGGGTAGGAGGGAAGCCAGGGGTCAAAGTCTTGGGTTGGCAGTTCTGGAATCAAGCTCACCTGCTCCTCTGAATCTAGAGTTCCTTGGGCTGGGGTAGATTTTCTAGACAGACTGAAGACAGCAGACTGGGTGTTTCATAGTGACTCTGCCTGTAAGACAGGACCAGGGAGACGGAACCAGAGGAGAAGAGCGCGTACTTCTCCGGTTACCACAGCTTACTCTGCTCCCCATGAAGATGAAAGTACCAGGGAATGTGTTACCATGGTATTGCGACTGGCCTGTTGGGGACATCCTGATTTTTCAGAAGGTCACATAACAACACAGTTTTGTTCGGTGGCATGGGAAACAGTATGAATTCATTTTGATATCCAGACTGAACTGGGTAGAGGCCTAAGGCCAGAGCTCACCAGAGCTCGGTGTGGAGGAGTGGACTTTTATCATTTCATGCAATGTTTTTGCATCCAGAGAGCGCTCATCTTTGTAGTAAAAATGGGAGGTTTGAGAAGAGATGCAGGATAGGAGATGGAAAAACAAAACAAATCTAAACTCAGCCTGTGTTTGAAATAGTGGAGGAAGATGTTGCTCATTAGAGTCATTGAATGCTAACATTTGTATCGTAGAATAGAATTTTAGAGACGTTCGCAGGCGTGCTGTAATTCCTCGGCAGTCAACAGTTATCATCCTGCTAAACTTTATGTCCATCGAAGGTAGAAGGTCTGCCTGGTTCATCTCGGTATGTAACTGGTGCCTTTGGCTTGACTCTGAGGGCTTGGTTATTTGTAGAGGTGATTTCTCTTCTGGATATGTAAGGAATCATGGGGACTGTTTTAGATGGAGGAAGGTCATTGGCTAATAAAGAAACTGCCTTGGCCCATTTTATTGGTTAGAACATAGGTGGGTGGAGTAAACAGAACAGAATGCTGGGAGGAAGAGGAAGTGAGCTCAGACTTGACAGTTCTGCTCTCTGGAGCAGAGGCCATGCTCCCCTCTCCCAGGCAGACAAGATGGAGCAAGCCGCCAGGTCAGACATGCTGGATCTTTCCCGGTAAGACTCATGCTACACATATTATTAGAAATGGGCTAGTCCAGGTGCGAGAGTTAGCCAAGAAGAGGCTAGAGCTAATGGGCTAAGCAGTGTTTAAAAGAATACAGTGTCCATGTAATTATTTCGGGGCATAAGCTAGCAGGCGGCCTGGGTGCTGGGGACACAGCCCCGCCGCTCATATTACAACAGAATGGCGCCCAACGTGGGGCTCAAACCCACGACCCTGAGATTAAGAGTCTCATGCTCTACTGACTGAGCACACACTCACCAGATTTATAGGTAAACATTAGCCCGAGGTGAACACGCCCCCTAAGGGGCGGGACTTATCCCTACATCTTCAGTTCAGAAGAATACTTGGTGAGTTTACCATCTCCTGTGAGAATTTCCAGTGGTCCCTTGGTATGGCCGTGAGCTGATGCATGTGTGTGGGCATTCGACATTGGGTGTATTGGGTGGACTGGGGTGGGCTCGCGGATGGAGAGAGGCTGCCTTCCTGCGAGGGTCTGGCTCACCTGTGGCGTTTGGGTCCCTAGGATGAACTAGATGAACTCCGTGCAGAGATGGAGGAGATGAGAGACAGCTATCTAGAAGAGGACGGTTACCAGCTGCAGGAGCTCCGGAGAGAGCTGGACCGCGCCAACAAGAACTGCAGGATTCTGCAGTACCGACTCAGGAAGGCTGAGCAGAAAAGCCTGAAAGTGGCAGAAACAGGGCAGGTGGACGGGGAGCTCATCAAAAGCCTGGAGCAGGATCTGAAGGTGAGTGCGCTCACGCGGCCTCCCGTGGCTAGGACTCTGAGGTGGTAACTCCACACACCTACCTACCCACTCCCTATGGATTCGATTCCCAGCGTCCACATGGTGTTCGCTAACATCTCCCATAATATACGATGCCCCCTCTTCTGGTCTCAGTGGGTACTAGGGATGAACGTGACATACAGACATGTAGGCAAATATCTCTCCATATAAAATAAAATTTAAGTGAGAAAGGGTGGTTTCTGGTTGTCTTACAGTCTTTCCTCACTCGCTGTCAGACAGTAAAGGAGCTTTGGGCTGGAGAGAAGGCTCGGCGGTTAAGACCACTGGATGCTCCTGCAAAGGACCTGGCTCCATTCCTAGTGACCACATAGTGGCTCATAACCATCTACAACTCCAGTTCTGGGGGATCTACCACTATCTCCTGGCCTCCATGGGCACTGCATGCGAAACATGCAGGCAAAACACTCATGCACATAAAAATAAATAAAATTAAAAAGAAAGTAAAAGAGTTTAATTGCTTTGAGCATTGCAAGGTTTTAACCACACAAGAGCCACAGAAAACATCTTGAAAAACTTGACTCTGTGGATCATCTACTGCATACAGAATTTTTATTTTTTTACTGCTTTTAGGTTTTTTTTCCTTTCAAGAAAGGGTTTCTCTGTGTAGCTTTGGAGCCTGTCCTAGAACTCACTCTGTAGACCAGAGTGGCCTTGAACTCACAGAGATCAGCCTGCCTCTGCCTCCGGAGTGCTGGGATTAAAGGTGTGCACCACCACTGTTTGGCTATGTGCAACTACCACCAAACAGTTTTAGGTTTAACATTGATTTGTTTGGCAGGAAGCATACGAGTGTTAGGAGAATTGGCACTAATGCTGATATTCGGTTGAGAACATGCCTCCATAATCCTGGCCTATAGGCAAGTTTGTAGGACCTTTTCTTGGTTGATGATTGACGGGTGAGGGCCCGGCTCATTGCAGGTGGTGCCATCCCTGGGCTGGTGGTTCTGGAAGGTATAAGAAAGCAGGCTGAGCAAGCCATGGGGAACAAGCCAGTGAGTAGCTCCCCACATGCCCTCTACTTCAGCTCCTGCCTCTACACCCCAGCCTTCAGGTCCTGCCTTGTGTTGTGGGAGTGTAAGTGGAATAAACCCTTCCTCCCCGAGCCGCTTTTGTTCACGGAGTTTTATCACAGCAATAAAAACAGTAAGACTGTATTCGTTATTCAGAGTGCTTGTGTCTAAAGGGGTTCAGATCTTCATTTTAGATGTTCAATTTCTGGATCAGGGGTGCTCAGCATGTATACTTACTTGGTTTAAATATAAGCCTCGTGCGTATTTCCTGGGTTCTTGCTACGACTAAGCTAATGGTTCTTCCTCTGAGGCTGTCTGAATGTTCCCTTAGCATCCATCCCCCGCCCCAGACTTCATATCCCGATGAGTATCCCTGGCGTCCAATGCAGGTAGCCAAAGATGTGTCCGTCAGATTGCACCACGAGCTGGAGACTGTGGAGGAGAAGCGTGCTAAAGCTGAGGACGACAATGAAACTCTGCGGCAGCAGATGATCGAGGTGGAGATATCCCGACAGGCCCTCCAGAACGAGCTGGAGCGATTCAAAGAGGTAACACACGGGCACAGGAGTTAGGGGCTCCTCGCGTCTCATTTTTATGCTGGAAGGCAGGAGTCGATAAACAGTGCGAGGCTATTTGGCTCAGGGGCTCAGGAGAAAAGATATATATTATTTTTTCATTGTAGATGAAAAATAAGTCACAGATACACAGATGCTATGGAAATTTCTGGAACAAAGACTGTAGGTTGCTTACAAAGCCAAAAATATTTGCTCTCTGCTTTTTTACATAAAAGGCTTCGAAACTCTAGTCTAAATTCATTTCCTGTCATTCCTATTCAAGTGAGCTGACCATTAATCCCTTCGGTGTGTCTGAGTGCTGTGTGTTATTACAGAATTAAACAGTAGCTCTCCCCCCCCACCACACACACACACACTGAATTTTTTCTCTTCATGTGAGCTCTGAGTAAATTATATTTGTCCCTGAAAGCTCTGTTATCAGCCAGTGGCTTATGCCTTTTAAGCCCCAGATTTAGGAGGCTGAGGCAGGCAGAAGTCAATGAGTTCAAGGCCAGCCTGACCTACGTAGCCAGCTCCGGGCCATCCAAGGCTACATAGTAAGACCCTGTCTCAAAATGGCAACGACAAAGCTCTCTGTAAATAGATTCGTGCTGCAGACATGTTCCTTTGCGTGCACATGTCTATGTATTATTCAGCCGATAGGATCCGACATAGATATCTATATATAGGTATAGATATTTTCTGACTGTTACAGAGTGATTATTCTAGCAAAGTAGTCTAGAAAAATATTCCATTTGCATATGGCAATGTAAATCCCGACGGCATTCTTTTTGACTTTGTTACAAGACTGTAGCTGCGTGTTTTCTTGGAAAACACCCTGCATACTGATGAAGTCTGCAGCGCTGGGGAAGGCTGGTTCACGCTGGCACATGACCTGCTGATAGCCTCAAGTAGCAGTTCATGTCTTCTGGGTCCGTTTGTTTCATTTAGGCGTCCCCACCCAAATGTTCAGCACCCCACTTTGTTCAGGCGGGGTCCCGAGTTCTGGGGCTGAAGACATGGACGTACACTGTAGTCCTTCAGGGTACCCAAGGTTTTTTTGCAAAGCACGAACCACAGCAAAGCAACGATGCTCTGTATAACGTGAGCTCCACTGGAAGGGGCAGGGGCTTGTCTGTCTAGGTCACCGTGGAATCCTTGAGCCTGAATGTGGGCCTGAACACATGCCGGGTGAGGGAGCGAGCACAGATGGCCATCGCGGCTTGCAGGGGACGGGTGCGAGGCTGCAAGGTTTCCCAGACCAGGAGGCTCTCTTCTGAAGGCTTGTTTCCATCATGAGCACAGCGCAACCCTTAACTGCTGCCTGCTTCATCCTCAGGCTGGAGGAGTTTGCGCTCTAATCATGGATTTTTTTTATTTATTTATTTTTATTTATTTATTTATTTGGCCTCATTCACCAACACTGGTACCTTTTATCGTCTGCTCTTCCTTTGGTCTTAGTTTTCTGAAACTGTGCTGTTTTACAGGTCAGTCCCTACCTGTGTGCATAGAAAATAATTGAGAAGTATATTTTATAAGATTAATTTGGATAGGTGTTTTGGTATTAAAATTAACTACACACACACACACACACACACACACACACACATATTATGTATATAGTGTTACCAGGACCCGCACCGATACTGAAGTCCAGAGATGTTCGAGTCTCTTACATAAAATAATAAGACTTTTCAATAGAACTTGAGCACATCTGCATACTTTATTTATTTCTACGCTATGTATTATGTCCAATACAATAGAGTCACTATATAAAGAGTTGTTTTGTTAATGTCACTTAGACACGAATCCTAAAAATCTAGTCTACGTAACCAGGTTGGCAGTGATACTTTTTGGTGGACTGTTTTATACCCCTGGTTGGTTGAAGCTGCCCTCGTGGTGCACACGGATACAGAAGATGGACTGCGTATATATTTTAAGCAAGGGAAGAGTCTGCATATGTTTTAAATGGATTTCGTGAGCCGTGGGAAGAAGAATGACTGCATGTTTTCTACATGGGCAGTAAAGCCGGAGGAAGCAGGGGCATCAGCCCCTCCCTGTGGGTTAAACTGACACAGCGGGACAAAAGGGCTCAGTAGAGATGGAATAAGTTTCACCACTGGAGTTGCCGTCAGTCCGGTGGGATGATATTTTTATACCGAACCGCTAAAGGGTTGCATAACGTACAGGAGTCTCAGGAGAGTTAGACGCCGGCAGAGGATACTGGATGAAGAGAGTGATGGAGCCAGGGGTGCAGGGTCCCAAGGTGGTGGAAGAGGAGTTGCTGGGAGATGCCAGCTGGGTCTCCCTAGATGGATTGTTTTCACAAAAGCAAAAAAAAAAAAAAAAAAAAAAAATACGCAGATGAGTTTGGCCCTGGTGAGCTTTGTTCTTCCTGGTTGACTTCTGACATTTTGTAAAGCGATGCATGATGACCTAAAAATGCATGGGCTTTTCCTGTTCCTGAATAACAGTCCTTCTTGTGTGTAGGTCTCAAGAGGACCTGAGCAGCCCTGCTGTGGTCCTTCCGCTTCTCCTAGGGTCCTGTAGTCGCTAGGGCTCTTGGTGGTAGCGGTCACTACCCTTCGCCCCCATCTTCAGTGTTTGCCACCAGCTCTGGGCTCTGGGCTGCTTTTTCAGTGATAATTGCCTTTACGAAATTTTTGTGATCAGGTGAATGGTTTCCAGTAGTTATGGAATGTTTGGAATTGCCTTGGAAGTGATGCATGTGTTTCAGGACCAAGCAGACAAGGTGGTGGTTTTATACCGATGTGAGTGTGCCAAGTGCTGTTGATTTATACCCTTGAAATGGTTGGGTTTTTTGTGCGAGTTTTAACCTCTTTCTTTTCTTTTTCTTTTTTTAAAATTACTTATTTGTATTTTATGTGTGCTGGTGTTTTGCCTGCATGTATGCCTGTGTGAGGCCGTCAGATCTTGGAGTCACAGACAGTTGTGAGTTGCCATGTGGGTGCTGGGAATTGAACCCGGGTCCTCTGGAAGAGCAGTCAGTGCCCTTAACCACTGAGCCATCTCTCCAGCTCCCTTAACCTCTTTCAAAATGGTTTTCTTTTATCATACTTGACCAGTGTTTTGGGTGAAGATGTGGGATGACAGGGTGCATGGTGTCAAGTCCTTTCTCTTCTTTCAGTCCCAGAGGTCTGACAGTGTCCTTCGGCCTTCAACAGACTTACCGAAGACTTGTCTGACTTCTTAACATGACCATTACTCACTACTTGGCCTTCACTGTCTCCCTGCCCTCCTTCCTCCACCCAGGATGCAAACTGGAGCAGGGACAGGGCTGTCAAAGGGTGACAAAGGGCTTTCCCCTCTGGTCCTCTTTAAAGGTAAACAGGCGTGTCATGGGAAACACACTTTCTCTGTTGATAGATGGGAAGGCAAGAGGGCTGACCTACTTGGCCAGGTCTCCTGGTCGCTCTCTGTGCTTGCTTACTCATGGTCCCTGCATCCAGGAACCAGGTCCTTTGCCCTGCCCCGGAGTTCAAGCTGTTTTGGTCCTCGACTCCTGTGTTGTTTCTACACAGATCTCCCACAGAATCTCAGGAAGGGAAAGTAGGTGAGCTAGCTTAGCTTTCTCTTTTCTTTTTTCTTTTCTTTTCTTTCTTTTTTTTTTTTTTTTTTGAGACAGGGTTTCTCTGTGTAGCTTTGGAGCCTGTCCAGGAACCTGCCCTGTAGACCAGGCTGGCCTCGAACTCACAGAGATCACCTGCCTCTGCTTTCCAAGTGCTGGGATTAAAGGTGTGTGCTACCAGGCCTGGTTAGCTTCCACTTTTCTTTTTTTTTTTTTTTTTAATATTTATTTATTGCGTATACCGTATTCTGCCTCCATGCATGTTTGCAGGTCAGAAGAGGGCACTAGATCTCATTACAGATGGTTGTGAGCCACCATGTGGTTGCTGGGAATTGAACTCAGGACCATTTACGCAAGTAGGTGGTGCTCTTAACCACTGAGCCATCTCTCCAGCCCTAGCTTCCACTTTTCAAAGATGGTCACCCTTATGCATTTATTTATTTATTTATTTATTTATTTATTTATTTATTATGTATACAATATTCTGTCTGTGTGCATGTCTGCAGGCCAGAAGAGGGTACCAGACCTCTTTACAGATGGTTGTGAGCCACCATGTGGTTGCCGGGAATTGAACTCAGGACCTTTGGAAGAGTAGACAATGCTCTTAACCACTGAGCCATCTCTCCAGCCCCACCCTTAGGCTTTTTTTACTCTACAATAACACCCTCCCCCAGCTTTTTAATACAGTCATAAACTAGACACAAGTAATAAGTAGCCAGATTAGTTGGCAATTTCTAAGGACAGAGATACGTCACCCCAGTGAATCAGTACTGTGGAAAGGAGTGTTGAAAGACAAACTGAGTATCAGAACCCATTGGTTGGTAGTTGTGATTTTGAGATTCAGGATGATTTCCATATCATAAAATAGAATGAGACCCCATCACCACCACTGGACCAGTGGGAGAGCAGTGGGTTTTGTGGCAAAGGAACAGGGAAAGAGAAGCCTGGTGGGTGGCGCTCAGGTTACTGTCCTGCCAGCGGTCACAAAGAGGACACTCACATCAGTAGGAATGACTTGTTTGTATTATTTGACTGTTCGGTCTCTCCTGGTCTGTCAGATAGGCACGCAGTTGGGGTGAGGCATGTAGAACTTCAGCCAGAGAATTTTATTGGGGTTCTCTCTGCTTCTCTAAGCCCGTTACAGGAGCTCCGTTCAAACAAATGGCCTCGTATATTTTACTGGGGTTCCTTCTGGTTCTCTGAACCTGCTGTAGGAACTTGGTTCAAACTGCCTCGTATTTGCTTTAATGGGAATCGCAGGAGCCGCCAGAAACCAGAGACTTTTTGCGGGTCGTCTTTTCCAGACCCTGGATGTGACGTCATGGTGGGGTTTGTGCTTAGTAAACAAGTGGCTGATGTTATGGGTCTGTGTACCAGAGACTGTGGCTGCTCCTAGTCTGTCTGG